AGAGCGGAGACCCCGAGCCAAGAATCCCGTCCCCTAATAAAGGCTGGCAGCCGCCGCCTGGGACGTGTCACCCCATGATTGGCTGCAGCTCATCCGGCCATATGACGCCACGGAATAGGCAGAGATCAAGGAATGGAAAATTACCCAGCGCCTGCGCAATAATCTTGTTTACATTCGGTGCCTGCCGGATGCAGGCGCCATCTTGTAATGGAGAATGCAGGGACGGCTCCCTACACACATGCAGACACATACTAAAACACATAATTAAAAATAACAAAAATAAACCTTAAAGCTAAATTAAAAATAATCAAAATCAGATTTTTTATATATTTTGGGTAATTTCATATGTCTACTTGTGTCCATTGGCTATATTATTTACATTTTATTTATAGTGTAGATCATCTCTATCAACGTATATAGCATCAGGCTGAAAATATTTGCATTATTCTTAAGAAAGATTCTGGAATTAACCAAAAGGATGTGATTAGATGGGAGTTATTGCTCTAACACTGAGTTGAATCAAACATCTATAAATGAGAATTCTTCTCAGTTGGTTCAGGCAGATAATAACTGCCACCAATTTAGCACTTAGTCCCCTGCCATGAACTGTGCTGAGCACTTTTACACGGTGCCTTGGAAACCCACAAAACACGCCTGGATTTGTAGGCATAAGCACCACTTTACATTTAAGGCAAGCATCTAGAGAGGTTAAATAATTCACACAGTTAATAAATATTTAAAGCACTGAGCTGGGTGATAATTCTTGGCAGTATAATAAAGCAAGCTAATCATTTAACCGGACTGCCTGCATCTTGTTCTTTCCCCTTTGAGTTTTGTGACAAATAAGACTAAAACAGCAAACACTGGACTAAGAACTGCAGTGTCAGCAACGATATTGATAAATCCTATGGTTTTCCCTGATAGGTGACTAGCCCTGCTGGACAAGTGACACCATTCCTTTCTTCCTTCCTCTTTCCCAGGGTATATAACAGTCCAGGGATTGTTCCTACCACCAAACCAGCACTGGCAGAGGGTAAGCCACGACACTCTTGTTCTTTTTCTCAAGCTCTGAGCTCACATTCAGTAGGTAGAAAGGATGGAGAGAGGCACACTGGAAACAGGAGCTCAGGGGAGAGGGTATTCAACGTCAGCAAAATCTAGTGAGGAGGGCAGACATTCAAGGAAAAGTTGGGAATGCACCTAATTTATTCTGTTTTCTCATGGCTGGATGAAACAGAGGTACACAGAAGGCTTCAAGACTCTGTGATGAAAGGATGTCCTGTGGCTTCCCCTGGAGGCAACATGAACACATACACAGATATAGCCAATAGCAGTAGAGTATCACAGATAAAAGGAAGAAATTTCTTTTGGTTAAGGCTCTGAGGCAGAGTGTAGTGTTCAGCTGAAGAACAATTGGATGATAGCACAAGGAAATAGGAAAATTGTTACAATGGATATAGACAGGTTTGGCATACAGGACCTTGTGAAATGCAAAGGATATATATATATATATATATATAGTAAGGTCTAGGGAAGTCATTAAAATGTTATGAGCAGAAAATTGGCATTATTAGAGTCCCACCAATTAGCTTCCATTGCATAGCCCTGATGGATGCTCATACCAGGCTAGAATTTTTAAATTTCACTTTGTTGATCAATGTGTAACTGTGTGTGCCAGTGCATATGTGAGAGAGAGTGCTATGCACGTGCTACAGCTGCTACAGCTCTCATATGGAGTCAATGCTCTCCTTCTACCTTTACACAGGTTCCGTCTCATTGGGTTTGCATGGCAATCACTTTATGCACAGGGCCATCTCATTAGCACTAGGATTTTCAAAGACCGTCAAACTCTGTGCAACCAGAATTAATTCTTCTTGTATATGTCTCATCTGTTCTTAGCAAATTCGCAAACAAGCCAAGTACTCAGAAGCTATTTTTAGTTTCACGATTGACTGGTATCCAAAGGGCTTCAAGTGTATCCTGGAACTTTCATGGAGTCCTTTCTGTTGAACAGACTGGCCGTCACATAGCTGCTTCATTTATTCATGCCATTCCCTTTTAAACTTTAAATGAGTAACGAATACAAGATGCCAACGCAGATTATGCTTCTTGGTCTGTGATTTAGTTGGCTGTCTTTGCTAATAGCATGCTCGCATCCATCAACATCATGGCCCATTCAATGTGGCAGCGTCCGAGACCATATTTTTCCAGTAAATGTGACTTCCTCTGGGCAACTGCATTTATAAATATTTAAACCTCATTTTCTCCCTTTTCCCCCTAGATGGATATGATTATAAAATTCGCCTAATGCCTGTAATCCCAGCACCTGGGAGGTAGACACAGGAGAGGCATATGCATTCAACTCCAGTTTGAGATATATGCTAAGAGTCTACATCAAAAGTGCGAGAATTTTACAGTTCTTCTGAACATGGGTAAAAACACTCAGTAAATCACATGGAATCTATGGAACAGCTATTAAAAATTACACAAACTGGGGCTTGATAGATGATTCAGCAACTAAGTATGCTTGCTTCCCTTCTCTGAGACCTGAGTTTGGTTTCCAGCACCCAAGTCAGGCATCTCACAGCTTTCTGCAAAATCCAGCTTCCCTGGATCCAACACCCTCTTCTGACTTCCAGAAATGCCTGCACTTAGGCGCACATGCCTGCTTGTGTACACACACACACAATTAAAAATCAAATAAATGGGGATGAAGAGTTGGCTCAATGGTTAAGAGCACTTACTGTTCTTGGGAAGGACCCAGGTTCAACTCCCAGCATCCTCATGTAGCCTTCCCACCTCTTTGGGCACCAGGCATGGATGTAGTACACAGACATACATGCAGACAAAGCCCCCATACTCACAAATAATAAAATAAATTTTAAAAACAAAGTAAATTATTATTTTAAGAATGCAACTAGAATCTGTGTTAAAGTGGGTGTATGGGAGTATATATTAACTGATCCTGAATATATTAAGTGATTCTTGCTGCAGGCAAAACAAAACAAAAAACAACACGAACATATTAAAGGGTGACTGACACAAGGCAGTAGGTAAGGTTTCTAAGTAAATGATAGTAACCCAAAATACAGTGGGAACAGAGGAGGAGGTAGTCATTACAATAAACACACGTCTGTTCTTGGGCCCCTAGAGCAGGGCAGATTTAATAGACAGAGAAAGTAGCTAAAGCACTTTATATGGAGACTGCTTTCCAATGAGAGGGATGGTATGTAAAGAAGGATGGAGATGTGGTATCTTCATGAACAAGAAGGATTTAGATGGTAAGGGAGCCTGGGACCAGATAATAGAGAGCCTTCTATATCAAGACATGATTCAAGTATGTAAAGCCAGACCTTTACATACAGTGCTGTTAGCAGCAGAAGATGACATAAAAATTGAAGTCATATCCCTAAAATGAGAAAACTAGAACTCAAGCTGTGTGTTCAATACATTTTTAATCTGAATCTGCCTGTGTATTCAGTTGCTGTGACCAAAATACATTATAGAAACAACATAAAAGTCACAGGGTTTGCTGCGGCTTACTTATAGTTTTAGAGAAATTTCACACCTTTGTGAGGTAGGGGTGGTGGTGGAGCATCTCTGCACATGGTGCAGTAGCCTGCGGCAAGAGTTCTCCACTGCCTTGTGGGGAAGCAGGCCCAAACACGGGGTAGGTAGAAGCTCAAAAGGCCCAACCTTAGTGACCCATTTTTGCCAGGCAGGCCCCCCCATAAAGATTCCACAGTTCTATAAACTGGAAGTCAAGTATTCAAAATGTCTACCTGTGGTGGACATGGACAATTCAAACCATAACAACCTCAGCAAAGTTGTTGAGGTAATTCCCAGCTTTTCCAACCTGTTTTCTATTGTTTTGGTATTGGAGTTGTACAATCAAGCACCAAGATAATTCACTTTGTTCAGTTCCAGAGACTGAACCTAGGACCTCCTGTATGCTGGCACTTCATACTCTACCACTGAGCTACAGCTCAGTCCTTTTCTACTCTTAGCTTTGAGATGGGGTTCCTTAGGTTGCCCAAACTGGCCTTGAACTTATTCTGTTACCAAAAACAGGCCTTGAACTTGCAATCTCCTGCCTCAACCTCCTGAATAGCTATAACTAAAAGCTTACACTACTTTAAAAAGAAAGGAAGGAAGGGAAGGAGAGAAGGAGGGAAGGTGGGAGGGAGAGAGGGAGGGACGAAGAAAGGGAGGGAGGAAGGAAGGAGAGAAGAAAGGAAGGAAGGGGAAAAAAGAATGAGTATAAGCTCAGAACTTAAGAAATGATAAATATGGCTATTACAAATATATTTTTTTTAGTTGATCAAAAAAAATTAAGCATTTTTGGCCATTTAGATTAGCTGCAACAAAGAAATATTGTATTGAAGTATGTTCCGGTAGTTCATAGACTCCAGATGAGTCATGATGCTACTGTGAGCTGCAGGGATCACTAGGTGTTTGATTTGTCTAGGGGAAACCACCCACAAGCATCCACCCCTTCCCTGTGGATGCCAGTCATCCCACAGAGTTCTGCTACTCTCCTACAGCTTACTCACCCTTCCTTCCTGTTGAGTCATTCTCTCTGATTCTCCGCAGTATGGACTGCAGAAGTCTTTGCTGCACCTATCAAACATTTTTTTGTTTGTTTGTTTTATGTAAGAGCAACGGCCATCAAGTAAAACTCATAAAGCTTAGGTACATAACTTAATACTTTACATTTTCATTTTAAAAAGACTTGTGTGTGACGTATGAGCATGGTATGTATGCACCCGTGTGTGCGGATGCATGTGCACATGCTCACACATACAAGGGCTCAGATATTGGCTATCTTATTCTGCTCTGGTTTGTTTTCTGTTACTGTAACAAAAACACACACCAAAACCAGCCTGGGGAAGAAGGGTTTATTTGAGTCACAGGTTAGAGTTCAGGATGGAGAGAAGCTACAGCAGGAGAAGGGGCTTGAGCAGTGAGGAATGTGCTTACCGGCTTGCTTCCACTGACCTACTCCACTAGGTGGTCCAGGTCCATCTTCCTAGGGATCGTACCACCCATAGTGGACTGGGCCCTCCTCCAATAACTAGCAATTAAGAAAATGCTTCACAAGACAAACATGGCCACAGATCAATCTGATCAAGGCAATTCTGCAGGTGAAGCTCCCTCTTCCCAGGTAACTCTAAGTTTGTGTCAAGTGAGCAGCTGGAGCTAACTGTGATGTACTCTATCAACTTACCATCATTTTTCCTTAAGAAGGGGTCTCTCACTGAACCTCCAGCCAGGCTGGCAGCCAACCAGAGCCAGCCATCCTCCTGCCTCTGACCCCAAAGCACTAGGATAATTAGGTGAGTTAAGCTATTTTTGTTTGTTGAGCACTTTTTCAAGTTTTTTAGCCATTTCTATTGGTTGTCTTTGATTTGTAGGACTTTTTAACACAAGTACTTTCTTAACTATCTACGTTCCAAATTCTCTCCCAGTTTGTGACCTGCCCTTTGATACCTTGATGGTGTCTTTTGGCAAGCACAAGTTTTCTTAATTAAATGAAACTCATATTTTTTTTCATTTACAGTTAGTGATTTTTATGTCCCGAATAATCGTTGCTGCCCAAAAATATTCTAAATTTTTCTTTAAAAACATTATCATTTTGATCATAATTATACATATAAGATCCATTTTAAATTAATTTGTATGTGTGAGGTGAGGTATAGGTCTGAGTTACTAATACAATTATTCAGTTCTAGTACCATTTGCTAAAAAACATATACTTGTCCATTTAGTTCCTATGTCTTCAACAAAATTCAGTTGACAGTAGCCAGTTTTAGATTCCTGAGTAAGGGGGCTGGAGAGATGGCTCAGTGCTTAAGAGCACTGGGTGCCCTCTGGAAGGACCTGGGTTCAATTCCCAGCACCAACATGGCAGCTCATAACTGTCTCTAACTCAGTTCCAAGGAATCTAACACCCTCACACATAAAAAAATTAAATAAATTATTTTTTTTTACAAAAGAATCCTGAGTAAATTTTCCAACTGTGTGGGCTCCTTCAAGGCTCCTCTGTGTGGTTTCCATTCACTTATCAACCTCTACACAGATGAAAATTCTACTGGAATTTTAACTGGGATAGTACAGCATGGCATATATAAATCAAGTTGGTGAGAATTGATGTCTTAGGGGCTGGAGAGATGGCTCAGTGGGTAAAAACACTGGCTGCTCTTCCAGAGCACCAGTTTCAATTCTCAGCACCTGCATGTTACTCACAGCTGTCTATAACTCCTGTTCCAGGGTAACCAATACCCTCTTTGGACCTGTGAGGGCACCAAGCATGCACATGGTACACAGACATACATAAAGGCAAAACATCCATATATGTTAAGATACAATGTAAAAAATTAGTGACATCATTTAACTTTTGCAGTCAGTGGGTTAAATCTCTCCACTTATTGAACTTTTCCTTAATACTTAGTATCTTTCCGCAGTATTTTGTGCTTTTCTGTGTAGAGGGCATTCACATTTGATGGCTCTAGTCCCAGATACTGGGGGTGGAGTGAGGTAGTGCTGTTTTAAACGGCATTGTTTTTAAAGTTCCATTTTTCAATAGTTTGTTGCTAGTATATAGAAATACGATATTTTAAAATACTAATAACACATATTTTTATGTCTTGCTAAATATACTCACTGGTTCAATTTGTTGCCACATCCTCCCAGCAACTCTGAATCAAGACTTCTCCTTTCTCCTTTCCAACTTTGACTTTATTGTTCCTTGAGGGGGGGTACTTTCCACTAAAGATAGATCTGCTTGTACATCGTCTCTTAGGAGGAGTGGCAGGGAGTTCCTTTGCTTTTTCTCCAGACTGTAACTCACCTAAAGGCCTTTAGTGGATCTTCTTTATAACACTGACAGAACTTCCTTCCCTTCTTCAGTAAGACCCTCAACCATGGACAGCTGTTGGGTTTTATCAATGATTTTCCTTTATACACTGAAATTGTGTGTTTTTCCTCTTTATTCCATCAATGCAATGAAGTATATTGACTGGTCACTCTTAAGGCACCCATTATTCCTGAGATAAGCCCCACATGGCAATTACATATTATGTTTTCCTTATTACTTCTGAGTCTGATTTGTTAATGATAGCTTAGGACTTTTCAATGACACTCATGAGAAATACTGGTCTATAATTTTCTGGTGATGTTTTTGTCAAGTTTAAGCATCAGGATTGTGCTGTCTTCACTAACTCCTTTGAGAAGTGATCTCCTGCCTTTGAAGTAATTGGTGTAAAATCGGTTGTGTTTCATCATTCAGTGTTTGCCTTGGTTTGCTGGTTTGTTTGTTTGTTTTTTTTTAAAAAAAAATAGTGTTTATAGTGAAGAACTTTAGGCTTAAAACTTCCCCCTGAAATTTTTAATTATAGATCCTATTTAATAGGCATAGAATTTTTCTTCTTGAGTAAATTCCTGAAAAATTATTCCTTCAAAACTTTGTACCTTATTCTACTTGTTAAATGTATTCCTATCAGTTCATAATCTTCTTTTCATTATTTAATATCTATAGAATTTGAGATACCTCCTTTTTATCCATACCTGTTGTTGTTAGCATAATGAGTACGTGTTTTCTCTCTTTTTGGCTAATCCTATAAAGTTTATGAAATTTATTAAAATTACTTAATATTTTTCACTGTTAATTTTTTAATTGTCAATTTGATATTTCCTTTATTTTATTTTTTTTCTTCTTGCTTTCTTTGGATGCATCCATGGTATTTACTTCTCCATCTTTTGTGTCCCAATCATGGGCACTTTCTGGTACTTTGGGATCTTGGAAGCATTATCCTACCTCACTCAGATGCAACCTATATGAAATGCATTATTCATGAAGGACTCCAAACCTGAGTTTTAAATATTTGGAGAGCATCTAGAATGCACTCAGGACAACCCAAAACAATCAAACATTGCCTCATAGCTGCTAGTCCTGGGCTGGATGGGCTGACAGCAATGTTTGCTTTCACTTATTTGGATTCTATAAGGTCTGCTTTCCTTGTAGGGTGACCTTGACACATCTGACTCTGCTAATACATTATGAAAGAAGAATAACAGAATCATGGAGGAATTTCCTTGCAGGTTTGAGGAAGAAAGGGGAGGCGAGAAAACAGTAGGACCTTGAAACATTATAGTTTGTAGAGAATGAAAATAGGTCAGTAATATGTACAAGGCTGTATGTGGTGGTCAGGGAGAAATGTGTACAGGGCAGTGTGCCATGGTCAGAGAGGAACTATCCAATACATTGCAGTGCACAGTGCTCGGGAGCAGAGGTAAGCAGGAGCCAGGGAGCCATTGCTAGAGAAATGCTGATCAGTGGACACCGATAGAGAATTTCCTCTCAGAAAGGGTGTCATTGCCTGTCACGATGGGAGAACGGGTTTGTCTGTGTTTTACTGTCGAGATGAAACAGGAGCTAATCATTGTCACCTCATCAGAGTGGCAGTCAACTGTGGACCATGGGCATGGACGTCAAGAGATTGCTCCTCAGGGAAGCTCACGATGAGCCCAGCTATTCTGGCTCTGTTCACCTTCAGGATTCTTGGCATCCATCTCACTGGACCTCTAGCAAAACATCTCACTACATTCTGGGACCTATTTCTTTTTGTTGTTGTTGTTTTAAGTACGTATTTGAATGCTTTATTACCATTATTAGAATTCTCCTATGAAGAAGGGCAAGGAGATAGAGGTAGGGTCAAGACAATTGAAGAACTTAGGGAATTTATATGCATATTATTTTTTCTTTTTGTAATGTACTCCTGATAACTATGTTTTTCTCATTTCTGTGGATTGTCCTTTATATCCAAGGCCTAATCTTGTCTTGAGAAAACTTCAGATTGTATCCAGTGTGTTTCATATACTTGGGCCTAACTGTATTTCTTCTCCTTGGGAAAGAAAAATGTTGTCCTTCCTCATATCAAGTACTTCAGAGTCAGAAAAAACTCAGGTGGCCTTCCTCCACTCTTCTGCCCTTCCAGGAGGAAGCCATTTTGAAATAAAATAGTAAGGGGAAGCCATTCTCAGTCAGCTTGTCCTACGAGAAAAAAAAAAAAAAAAAAACAGGACGAAGTGTTTAGGAGGAAATATTAGATTTAGTGGAACATACTAAAATGCAGTTGAGTCCTGTGAGACACACTAGGTGACGGGAAGTCACAGATACAGCCTTGTGTGGTGACAACAAAGGGAGAAGACAGGACTGGAGAGGGTCACTGTGGCAGATGTGGGAAGAGCTGTGGATGGACACATACAGGGAGATGGTCACACCACAGTAAGAGTGGCTGTGACCTTTTTTTTTTTTTGCAATTTTATAGTATAGTATTTTAATTTTTTTCTTTCATTGAAAATGATTTTTTTCTCACATAATATATCCTGATTATGGTTTCCACCTGGGACCTATTTCTTACTACCTGCTCTTTTCCACTGAGCTTTTCTGAGTGTCTTATACCAACTTCCATAATTAGCCTATACTTTTCTGCTTCTTGATTTCAGCCTGGTGGCTACATTATCCTGATAACCAGTATTTATATGCAACATCCCACTGTAGCCTAGACGAGGCTGGCCTCAAACTTTCTAAGTAGCAGAGACTTGCCTTGAACTCCTGGTTCTCCTGCTTCCACCACCTGAATGCTTGGATAACAGGTACACACCATGGTGCCTAGCACACCCAGTTAATACAATATGGTTTGAACCACATTAGGCTCTCCAAGACCAATATGAATAAAAATGTTCTTATCTTTCATTTAGTCCATCATAAGTGATTTCCACTAAGTAGGCTATAGACTGGGAACATCACCTGCTCTGTCCTGGTTTCTGGAATATTATTCTCATCTCAATTTAAAGAGAAAAATGATCTGGTTTTTAAAGTGTCACTTCTAGGAAGAAAGCCAGGGCTTAATTTGCCTTTTCATTGAGATTTATATCGTGTCTTTGATGTTTCAAAGCAAAAGTCATTGGGCAGTGGTTCACTCTGTCATTAATATTCAGATCCTAACATTCTGCTATTACTGCACCAGGACGTTGTTGCAGACATATCGATCCCAAGAATTTATTTATGGGACTCTATTCCGGGAATTGTTGGGGGAGAGAAATAAAATATTGGTGATACTCACCCTTCAAATTAAAATGCAGGGAACTGTGCCCAATATT